TAATTTTGGTTAAGCGTACAATAATATGTTTAGCACTGTCGTATGTTGTTGGTCTTGAGGAAATGACTATCACTTTGATTTGTGGTGCCAATCGCAGATGTAATTAATGCTCCATTTTCATACACTCTGCAGTTACTAGGCCTGAGCAAAAAATGGTCAGGTCATTGAATCTAGCAGTGTAAGCAGTGATGTTGGAACCTTTCATCTATACGATCTAGAGCTCGTGTTCCAAAGTTTGTACTACATCCTGGGGACAGTACTCCTCAATCAGTAGCACCTTCAACTCTTCCCATGACATATCGTTGGCCTCATCGATACCCATTGTAGATGCATTTTAATTCCACCAGTTTAGTGTTGCATCCATGAACGTACATGCAACAAACCTGACCATGCAGTCTCCTAGGCAGAAACAATTTTAGAAGACTTATTCCATCCTTTCAATCCAACCGGTCATACTAATAAATCCTTCGTTTCTGTAGAAGTTTTTGGGTTTGTAGTACATAAAGTCCTTGTATGTACAAGTTCTTTGAGGCCCTCCTTGATCTCCACGAGAATTACTGTCACGTCCGTTACCTTGACCACCATTTCCCACCCGGACGTTCCATTTCGAACTGTTGCAGCGTTGGCTAACGCAATTGTAACGCATCAGGATATTAATTGTTCCAATTCGGCTAAGCTCTTAGGTAGCCCTCCTTGAGGTGGTGGTGTTGGGAGTGTTTATTCAGTTTGAGGTGGTGGTTGCCAGCAATTTATTCGGACACTTTTTCTTCTCGGAGGCATGTTAAATGTCCTATTATAGTTAGCAAAAGAGTATAAGTTTGTGATGCTTCATTATTAATCAGAGTACAATGTTAAATGACTTATTATGTTCATAAGAGTTCACAAATTTCAAGTTAAGTACATAGTTTATGCAATTGTTCAACAAGTTCAGGATTTAATATAACATATATATCGCTTGCCTCCTATCACCACCTCCGGTTGTGAATACATGCTCCGCAAGCCGTCATTATTGCAACATGATCTGCTAGTCGTCATTGTTGTGATGTTACAATTGGGGAGGCCTTGGCTAGGATGTCGAGGTTGTCGATAGGCCTTGTGGTGTTGGGTTATGCTTTAGATGGGCAATACATGCCTTAGTTTATATGCTTTAGATGGGCAATAATACATGCCTTAGTTTATGCCTAAGATAGTCATCACCGGGTGCGTGGGTCGATGACAACAACTAGGCCAATGGATCGATGCCAATGTTCTTGGTTTAAGGCACCTAAGGCTTAGTTACCACTCCATTATGATAGTGCCCAATACATATCAAATAGGATTTTCATGTTTTGTGTTTCTCTAATTTCTAGGTATTTACTACTTTAATGTACAAAACTACAATGGAAAATAAAAATATCATAATTATTACAAACACGTTTAAAAACCAGGCAAACAAAAAAAATATCACATTCATCATGTTCAAGCATACATTCAAACAAAACCCAAACATAAAAAAACAACACATAAACATTTACATATTTCAATGGATATGTGGGGATTGCATGAAGCTTCATGCCTTGAGTCGCTCATGTCACCACCCGGGTGGCTTGATTAAGTTTATTGACGGGGCTGATGACATGAGCATGCATATTGTTGGCATTCTAAAGCCACTACCCAATGAACCGGAAGCTGACCTCAATGATGGGTTGGTGATGGATGCTCAACTACTTCATCGTGTTTTTAAGTTGCCTATCACCACTATCAAAAGCATCCCTCATACCTGTCGTATGGCTTTCTCTCAAGCTTTGAAAGCAGCCCTTTCCAAAGTAGTTGCTCATCCCGCATCCGTTGAAGCGTAGGTTGCTCTGTTAATTCTTCCTAGGTGTAGTCTTCAGGTGCTCAGGCCCAAGAATAGGCAAGAAAGTAGGTCTGGCAACAGGAAGTCTTTGCAACATCGTAATATCTTGAGCGCTTTAGCTACTTGGGGGACTGAAGACGGTATCGCCAAGCTAGTTAAAAACTTAGTTGACACTGCAAGACTAGAGAAACAAGATAAAAAAAAAAGAGTACATTCAGGAGAAAAGGACTCCGGGCAGCACCAATGTCAGACAATGTCTTCGTAACGTTGCCGATGGACATTTTACAGCAGCAGTGAAAGTTTTATGTTCTTCGGGTGTTGCTCCATTTGGGGGTGATACCACGAAGGCATTGGAGGTTAAGCATCCATAAAAGCCACCACCTTCCATGCCTAACACCATATTTTCAAAACCTCCCCTGGTAGTGGATGTTGAAAATGTCGTTGGGGGAATTAAATCCTTCCCTAAAGGTACCTCGTGTGAGAGGGACAGGTTGAGAGCTCAACACATTTTAGATACCCTTTGAGGATAAGGTTCGGCTATAGCCAAAGACCTCCTGTGTGGTATTACTTATGTGGTTAATCTATGGCTGGGGGAAGATGCCCTGCGAACTTGGCGGAATTTGTTGCCTCTGCTCCTCTCACGCCGCTCTTAAAACCTGACAAGGGAATACGACCTATTGCAGTAGGTACTATATGGATACATTTGGTTTCCAAGTTGGCCATGAAAGGGGTGGGTAAAGAAATGGCCAAATATCTCAATGATTTTCAGTTCGGAGTTGGGATGTCGGGTGGCGCTGAGGCCATTTTACATAGCGTCAATAGGCTGTTGAGTGAGCGCCACAATGACAAATCTATCTCCCTGCTTACCGTGGACTTCTCTAATGCCTTTAACCTTGTTGACGGATCTGCATTACTTCATGAGGTTAGATTGAGGTGTCCCTCTATTTCCTTGTGGGTAGAATTCCTATATGGTCAAGCAGCAGGGTTATATCTAGGCAACACACATATCAGGTCTTCTACCGGGGTTCAACTAGGAGACCCCTTGGGACCACTTCTCTTTGCCATTATGTTGCACCCACTCTTGCATAAGATTAGAGACAATTGCAAGCTTCTTCTCCATGCATGGTACTTGGATGATGGCACACTTATCATAGATTTGGAGGAGGTGGCCAAAGCATTGGACATCATTACGGTGACTGGCCCAAAATTGGGCCTTCAGCTGAATATCAAGAAAATCGAGCTCTTTTGGCCCTCGTGTGATGGTAGGAAGTTACGGGAGGGGCTATTTCCGGCGGACATCAAGAGGCCGCCTTTGGGGGTGAAAATTCTTGGGGGGGGCTGTTAGTAGAGATGCTAGTTTCATTCGCAACCTAGCCATAAAGAGAGCCGAAAACGTTGTGAATTTGATGCACCTTCTTCCATAATTGTCTGACCCCCAGAGTGAGCTCCTTCTTCTTCGGTCTTGTATGGGTATTTCTAAGCTTTTCTTTGGGTTGAGGACGTGCCAACCCGTTCACATGGAGGAGGCGGCAATATTATTTGACAATGGATTGCGCAAGGCGATTGAGGACATTGTGGTATGTGGGGGACCTTTCTTTGGTGACATACAATGCCGAATTGCTTCCTTACCCATTAGGTTTGGGGGTTTGGGTTTATACTCGGCAGTAGAGGCTACATCATATGCTTTTGTTGCCTCAAGGGCCCAATCTTGGTTATTGCAAGACCACATCTTACGGGATAGCGGTATACATGGTATGGATTCTGATTATGATTGTGCCTTGGCATCCCTTTGCAACAAGCTTCTAGATTTTGATCTTAACAATTTTACTACTAAAGACTCCGCCCCCCCCCCCCCCCTAAATCCCATAATACACTAGTGAGTGCCTTTTTTCGTAAAATTGTCCAACATATGGAAGTGCATTTTGACATGACGGCTCGGCAGAAAGCGGTTTTTCAGTGCTTACGTGCACCACATGTTCAAGATTTTCTTCTGGCTATCCCTATAGATGGGCTTGGCCAACACATGTCTCCCATGGAGTATCGTACTATTCTCAAATATCGACTTATGATTCCCATTTTCCCAGCTGATGAGATACGTCCTGTGTGTCGCAAGGCATGTTTGGACTCTTTTGGAGAGCATGCACTTCACTAAAGGAAATCCCGGGGTTTAAATACAGGCATGATATGGTTATGGATGTTTTGTTTGACATATTTAAGCGTGTCGAGGTTTCCGCTAAGAAAGAGGAACCTGTTAATTTCTTGGCTGAACCGACAGAAGGAAGGTCAACCCTCAGACCGATTGACATTTTAATTTTTGGATGGGTCGGAGGGAAACACGCATGTGTGGATCTTACAGGGGTATCCCCTCTCTGGGGGTTTCACAGCGGGACATGCTGCTTTAAAAGTAGCCACAGGCAAAGTCACCAAACATGAGAGATCGTGCCTGGAAAATCAACACGTGTTCATACCATTTGCATTTGATACGTTTGGTTTCCTCGCACCGGATGTGGTAGACCTTCTTAAAAGAATACAACGAATCATGCATAGTAATGTTATATCCCCTAGATCTTCGTATGTAGTCTTTAGAAGAATTAACTTTACCATTCAAAAGGGCTTAGCGGCACAGCTTGTTGTCCGTTTGTCATCTCACTCATTGTACGATGACAATTAATTTCTGGTGTTTCAGAAACACTGTAACTGTAATCCAAAATCCCTTCATTTTGACCCTGAAAAAAAAAATTTATTTTAATCGTAACAATATGTATAAAAAATGATAACATGAACAATAAAAATAAAATGAAAAAGTAATCACAAATTCTAAAGGTCATTGTGATACTGCTGTTGGTAATTCTATGATCCAAAAACAATTAAAAAAAATCATATACAATTGAAAATTTAACCGATCAAAATATTTAGTAATTCTCAAATAAGGATCCAAATAGAACACTTTTGATTAACTTAAAGCAACATATATGATATTACAATTTCATGTCTTAAATAATGGATCCATTTAATGTAAGAGCCAGTAATCAAGATTGATTACTGCTATCAGTATCAATACGAGTTGATACTAATTGTTATTAAACACCAACAACAAAAGGCAATCTTCTTCAACTGTTCTTGCATTGTGTTCCTCAACCAAGGAAAGGAAGAGAGGGCTGGAATGCAAAACAAATGGAGAGGAAAGGGAGACATTTCAGTAGGGTTTCTGTTCAAATACTTACAATATATTGCCGGCTTTATGAAATCACTACAAGTCTACAAGCCAATCCATTTAAGTATATTCATTTTATTTAATTAATTACTATTAGTCCATTAATTGACTTATTAAATAAGTTCTTTCTTTTCCCTTTTCGTAGCACCAACTGGAGTCGTTATTGAAAAGCTCGAGAGATTAAACGGCGATTTTTGTGGGGAGGCTCGGAAAATAGGTCAAAGATACACAAGAACAGGGAGTTGTAATGGAATCAAGTACATGTGGCGTCATGTAGAGTGGCAGAAGAAACATGGGATCATATCCTAACCTCATGCCCACTGGCGAGAGAAGTAATACACTCGATTCTCCAATGGTGCAACATCCAGGCGACTAAGTTCCAATCAGTTTCAAACATCATCCATTTCGCCTCCAAATGAGGTAACTACCCCAAGAAGAGAAAAACGTTAACAACGATATTATTCGGGACCCTATGGTGTTGGAAAAAAAACAGACCACAAATGGTGATCTATGGTTTTGTGGTCTCACCACTGATGGAGACTATTAGGTAAATGTTCTTTGTAAAAGGATAGACAAACGCAACCCTAAGATGGATGGAAAATTTGAGTGGTTAATAGAGGTTCCAATTAAAGTCATGACTTTCGTATGGAGGGAAAAAATGGGTAGAATTACAATAGCTGCGGCGCTATCGAGGCGTGGTGTTAACTTGAACTCCATAGTTTGCTGCCAATGTGATGAGGAGGAGCAAACTGTAGACATGTACTGGTTCGATGCACGTATGCCAAATCTGTCTTTGAGTGGATGCTCAAATGGTGTAACATTCCTGATGTAAATGTGAATGAAGTGTTAGATTTTGCATCAAATTGTGGAAACTGCTCTAAATAAATAAATAAATAAATAAATAAGAGGTTGCTGGGAATTTGTTACGGTGTTATCTTGAGTATTTAGAAGGCAAAAAACGAAAAACTATTTAACAATAAACGGCTGAATCCTTCTAAAGTTGCTGACACTCTAATGTTGTCTTAGTTGGGTAGAATAGAGCAATTGTCCCTTTATGAGTCTGGAATCTGTTTTTTTTTTTTTAATGTTTTGACAACTTTGCTTTAGTGTATTTTTTTTCTAATTTAGTTTTTTTAGAACGGGTTATATATTTACATACAATTTTACTCATAAATCTACATATTTCATGCGTAAGTAACCAAACTTGAACCCTTAAGTGTTGATTTAGAGGCATATATCCACCAATTTTAGATACCAATAGACCAAAAGGGAGTAATAATTTAATTTGATTTTAGTAGATAACGACCTTTATTTATTTATTTTATTTTTCATTTAAAAAATGATAAGTAAACCTGATATTATTTATTTATTCTAATGAATAATAGATTTATGAATTATATAATAATATTTATTTCATATAATTTTAATCAATTTTATAGTTTCACAAATATTTAATATATTAACGGCAAATAAAAATATGAGGAAATTAATAAACTAGCCAAAATCCCTAATGACTTATTCATTTGTAGCCAAAAATTAATATTTATCCCAAATTAATCAAAAAAACTATAGGTTATTAAGGAAAACCTACCGTCAAACGGTCAAAGTAGCCAAAAGAAAGTTGACTATTCTTTCGGACATTTCGGACTATGAGCTAGTGTCTCGTGGGTCGTCTACTATATCAAAACCCATCAGCCCAACATATATAAAGTTGTAAATTCATTTACATTATTTTTCATACTTTTGAAGGTCGAAAAATCCTCTTGAAGGCTCCAAACAACAACCAGGCATGTGTCGATTCTTGGAGTAATTTTTTATTATTCCTAATTATGACTAGATCTTATATATTGGGTTTGATTTTTCCAAAAAAAAAAAAAAAAAGAGTTGTAGGCTTCATATAGAACCTACGGTGTACAAGTATGTAATGCATAGATTGGGCATCCAGTGCTTGTATACCGTATGTTTCTTATGAAACCGTAAGTTTTTTAAAATATACTCTTTGCAATACTGTAGACGGCTCAGAGAAAACCATAAGTTTCTTAAAACCTACGGTTTTGAAGTGAAAAATGTAAAATAATAATAATAATAATAATAATAATAATAATAATAATAATAATAATAATCTTTAAATATACATTGTGGAAACCGTAGGTTTCAGGGGAAAGAGTAGGAGAATTTTGTAACGTATGGTTTCTTTTTGGTTAGTTTCGAATAAATGTTAATTATTGGTTATAGATGAATAAGTTATTAGAGATTTTGTCTAGTTTAGTAATTATCACCTATGCGCCTGTTCATTACTGAATTAAGGACTTTGATTTCTTTCACTTAATCTATTTCAATTCCTGTGTTTAACAATAACATTTTACATAACAATTTTGCATATTAAAATAGTTGTATACGATTTTATTTTATTCTTTTCCTAGATAAAACAATCCACTACAATAAAAAATCTATGCATCAATAACTGATTTTTTTTTGTTTATTTGTATACAAACTTATCATGAATTTAATACTTTAAGTTTACCATTGCATTACCAATAAAAACATACTAATATTTTATGAAAACATGAATTCGTAGCTTTTGTGAGGATATCACATGTGTATTAAATAAGTTGGTGGCCATGAGTTGAGGATATAGGTGGTACACCTCATTTGAGCACCAACTCTTCTCTAATGACATTTAGGATTTTTCTTGGAAGTTTGTGTATTTTAGAAACTCTATGATTTAGTTCAAGGGAAATATGACAAGCAGTTCAGCAACTTTATACACTTATAAACTTCTAAGGTTTCGGAGAGTCGAGCTCGACAAACATGAATCCGATAAAATCTTGCCATGTTATCCCCTCTCTTGCTTGTGCAAAAGTGATGTAGAGCTCGGATGCTTCTACCACCACTTCCACCGGCCTTATTAAACTCATTGATTATGAGAATGACAATTAAGCACAACCTTTAAAGTTTTATTTTAGTAACTATCTGCTTTTCTTTTGTTTAATTTACCACATTACAGCCTACTGTTATTTTCAAATTACCTGGTTATCCGGATGTTACATTTAAATATTAAAAAATGTATCATTAAACAACTTTAGACACTTATATATTGTTGGTGATTTTAGTCTTACCATGTTATTTTATGTAATTGAAATTAACATGTGAGTTAATGAGCTTCATAATTTGTATTTAAATAATGTACGAGTTTGTGCGGAGTGTTTGCATGCATAAGATCGGATTAGAAACCAGTTCGACAAAAAGTCAGGGTGGGGAGGAGGGGTTCGGGGCAGCGCCCCTGGTTCAGGGGTTTCTAAAGGGGTAGTGCCCCTTTGGTGGGGTCTAGGGGCAGCGCCCCTAGCTGGGTCCAAGGGGCAGAGCCCCTAGATGGGGTCCTGCTTTGATTACATATGAGAACTTAGTGGGAAATTAGGATTCTTGAGGGTGCTTATGGTAAAAGTAAGGTAACCATAAATCCTCATTCAAATTCGGATTACCCTGACTTGCTTCCAAAGCAACTCATGACGGCCTGACCCTAATGAAACCCTTGTCTCATTTATTATATAAACGGTTCTTCCTTCTCAAAAGAAATACACGAAATTTAGCTCTCGTTTTCTTCAAACTTTCACATAATCCTTCTAGCAATTTGCCTAACGATTTTTGTGTCTAATATTGTATAGGGTAGAAATATCAGTTCGGAAAGTGTTCTCATGATCCAAGTTAGTATTCAGATCTCCACCACAAACCCTAAATTTCTTACAATCGAACTGATATCTTCTATTCCTGGAGATGGATGACTCAATCCGCGAGATGACCACTAAGTTTGCCAAACTGGAGAAGTTTGAAGGCGTCGACTTCAGGCGTTGGAATAACAAGATGCAATTCACACTGATTACTCTGAAAGCAACATACGTGTTTACTACTCCAAGACCGGTGGAACCTGAGGAAGGTGTTGTTGAGACAATTGAAGAGATAAGAATGAGAAAAAAGTGGGACAACGATGACTACATCTGTAAAGGTCACATTCAGAACGGTATGTATGATTCTTTATTTGATATCCATAGTGAAGCCCTGTGTGCCAAGGAGTTGTGGGATACACTTGAATTGAAATACATCACCGAGGATGCTTCTAGCAAGAAGTTTCTGGTTAGTGAAGTTAACAATTATAAGATGGACGATTCAAGGTCTGTTACTGAACAATACAATGAACTCCTTGGCATATACGATCAATTTAAACTGCACCGTATGAATATGGATAAATCCTTTTTTGTGTCAACCATAATTGACAAACTGCCTCCATCCTAGAAAGACTTCAAACACAACTTGAAACATCAAAAGGAGGAACTATCTTTGTGTAATGCCCGCAGATTCGGGCTAGTCAATTTAAAGACAATAAGCATAAAAAATGACTTTTTATAGAAGGTTATTCAGAATGAACAATCTTAACTAAGTTTTAGTATATGTCACAAAGGTTCCATACATCTAAAGAACGCCAAACTCCAAGTTATAACAAAGAAGTTATGGCTCGTCGAAGTTTTACAGCTAAACCGGCACGGCACCGCGTAACGTAAAAAGTGAATTTTTGATAAATTACTTTTACCCTTATTAATATAAACAAAAGTCGTAGTATACGTTAAACCGAGAGCGTGCATAAAAAGAACGTCCAAATCTGACTTCGTATGAGAAAGTTATGATTTTTCTAAGATTTAGCATAGCAGTGCACAACTCGGAATTCGAATTTTAGATCGATCAATTTTTAGCCAACACAACCTTAATGAGAATTGAAGATCTCATTACTAAGAGTTCAACGATAAAAATACAGACAAAAACGGAGTCCGTATGTAGAAGTTATGAATTTTACGCAGTCATTTAACAGTATAATCTTCTCATATTGTCAAATTTAAAATTGGTTGAGAATTATCCGATGAGTCAAAAGGAAAGTTGTACATCTTGTCATTATATATGTGTGGATATAAAGAACGTCGAAAATGGAGCTTGTATGCTAAAGTTATGAATTTTTAAAGATTAGTTGTTTTACCTGCGTCCGGTGGCACATCTTAGCACCAGGCTTCACCTTGGAGCCTACGCAAGGCTCACGACGTGAGAGCAAAGTCTCACGACGTGAGAGGCCCCATAAAGCCTATAAAGAGAGGCACAAATCACCCATTTTCTTCATGCCTTTCTTATCCTTTCTCTCCCATTACCCCAAAACCATTTCTTCCTTTCCCTAACACTTCCTAAGTGCTAGAGACGAGTCCCGGAGCGCCAGAAAAAATCCAAGAAGAAGAGCTTTCGACGCAGAAGTTCTGCCCCTGCAGAGCCCGACTCCTAGCCAAACCTCCTCATAGGTAAGATATGTCTACCATATTTTAAATATAATATCTTTATTATAAACCTATAAATAAGATTTATCAGTGATTCAAAGTCGTTATACTCATTAAACTACTTACGAGGATGATGTCTAGGCTGTGATTTAGTGAGGTGTTTAAAGTGGGATTTCCAAACAGTATACTTTGTATACCAAACAGACCCTACCTCCGATATGATCCTACCTGGTTGTTCCATAATTGATAGATCCTGAAAGTAGTCTTTGAGTTAATGATGAATCTAGACTAATAATTAGTTGCAATAAAGATTAGACTAAAACTTAGCGATAATAATGTTAGGTTTCATCGAAGGAAAATAGAATCGTTAGAAGCGAAGCACTGCCCGAGTTTGGAATAATCACTTTAACAAGTGAGTGCATAGTCCCTTTCATGAACATGATTTTAATACAAGTATTGAATAATGTATTAAATGTTTGTTGGTGTGTAAAATATTTTATATTACCAAAAATACGTGTTAAGA